ATGAGTTCAAACAGTTCCTGTAAAAATATGACCATTGTGATCTCTTGCATTGCCAAGAATCAAACCTGGATCATCACCTTGGGAAACAGCTAGACTCACCATTATACAGCCAATGCCTTGACAAAAAAAAAAGCATGGCAATGCCAACATACATGTGGAGTGCATCAGACCACCATCTATCATGTTCACATGCATCAAGAAAGGTCAGTCCCCAATTTTTATTTGACCAGTAAGAGCTTCCCATGAGTTCAAAGAGCTCCTGTAAATACACGACCATTGTTATCCACTATTAATCAACACTAGACCTAAACATGGTTATAACTTATTCAAAAGCTTCACTGAGTTTCTCACACCCTAACTGGAAAACTCAAAAGCCACTTCTATTTGTTACTGTATACCGTCCATCTGAACCTTATTCAGAGTTTTTAACTGAATTCTCAGACTTTGTGTCTGATTTAGTGCTTAGTACAGATAAAATAATCATAGTGGATGACTTTAATATTCATATAGATGCTGACAATGACAGCCTCAACAGTGCATTCAGTTAATTATTAGACTCATTTGGCTTTTCTCAAACCCACTCACTGTTTTAATCACAGCCTTGATCTTGTTGACATATGGCATTGAAACAGAACTATTAATAGTTTTTCCCCAAAACCCTCTTCTGTCTGACAATTTTCTAATAACTTTTGAATTTACATTAATAGATTGCACAGTATATGGGAAACAATTCCACTACAGTAGATGTCTGACCATGCTGTTACCAAATTTAAGGAAACAGTTCCATCATTATTTACTTACCGTAACCTTGTTAAGCACTCTGTGATTGTATATTAAGTGTCAGTCTTCCTGTTCCAGTAGCTTTGCCCTTCTATCCTCTGTGCTGTATCCCTAAGGAGTGTGTGTAGGAATCCCTGTGCTCTTCACAGCTGAATGACAATCTAATCATGTTTTCCTATAAAGGCTTATTCAGCCTAAAGTACTCTGGGTAATATTTAACAGGTTTCTTATGCTCAAGATGGCTGGCCATGTCATAATGAGTGTTATTTCTATTTAGTGGTAATCAGCCAGCCTTCCTTTAGGCATAACCAGCATAATGCTTAACTGATGAAAAGCCTAAAAATTACTGACTGAAATGTCAGTCTATAAAAATGCAGTAAAAGAAGATAAAAAAAAAAAAAGATCTCTGGTGATATTTTCAGAGTCTGAAGGTGAAGGCAGAACAAGACTAAAGCTCCTTTAGGACACATGGCTTTATGTTAGTCTGATGCAATTTAAGACAACAGTCTCCTGTCTGAATAAGCACTGAGAACTGTTCTTTCTGCTCTTTCTCTGTTGTGACTTTTAAAGAAAAGTCTAGGGATTTACCCAACTGAGAATTTTATCAATTGGCTGTTCACTGTATCTATTCAACTTTTTGTTCTTTTCTTTCAATATATATAGCATAGACTATCAGGAAACCAACTGGCATGAATTTCACAGATGATTTTGATCACATTAACATTGGCAATCAAGTGCAAAAGAGTGAAGGGGAAATATTTGAGCATTTAAAAATCAATAAAGACAGCTACGTATGCAAGATTTAAATTACAACCTATTTAAATTGGAGAATATATAATGCCTGGCTGTCATATGGATTTGTCAGAATAACAAGACAGGAAGAACAGTGCCCTTATAGGCTGTTTTTTTTCTTCTAAGACATGATTATAGCCTAGTGTACCAACAAGTTTGAGCTTTTCTCATCAGATAACTACTACAGTGGGTTATACATCTGATACATGTCAGCTTGCACTGTTAAAGAATATATGTATAGCCTATATATATATAAACCTCCCCACTCGCCCCCCACTTTGGGGCGGTCTTATTCCTTCCTTCAAGCTCAGGTCCTCTACCAGAGGGTCCAGCGCAGTATCTTAGCTGTTCCTAGGACTGCACTCATCTGGACAGAGATCTCAGATGTTGTTCCTGGGATCTGTTGGAGCCACTCTCCCAGTTTGGGGGTCACAGCCCCCAATGTTCCTATTACCACGGGGACCACTTGTGCCTTCACCTTCCACATCTTTTCTAGCTCTTCTTTCAGCCCTTGGTATTTCTCAAGCTTCTCGTGTTCCTTCTTCCTGATGTTGCTATCGCTTGGGATTGCTACATCTATCACTA